GCCAATGGGCGCCCGCGATGTAGTGTCCGCCAAGGTGCTAGTCGAGTCCCTCAAGATGCGCTTGGGCGAGGTGATCGAGCTCGCGATAGCAGTCCACTTTGCGGCCTGGCGACCGCGCCCCGCATGCGGTGGGAGCAGCGGATACCGAGATCTTCAACGTCTGGGCTGGACATCCCATCGCTATGAGCCGCGCGCACGGAGCCGACGCAAGGACGGGTGCCTATCGGCTAGGTTCTCGCACGCGCTGGCGACTTCGAGCTTGCTTCTATGAGTTCCTGGAGGAGTCCGACACAGCCCCCCCCAGGGCCATCGAGGCACCCAGCGACTGCGTGGCAGCTGGGAGGCTGGCGCCGGCGTGATCCTCGGGGCTCAGATCCTGCGGCGCGCAGACGGACGTATGTAATTATTTCAAACCGATTGTGCCGTGGCCGTCTAACCCATGATTTTGCCACTGGACCGTCGCATCAGACTTTGGGCCATCTTTTCGGGCAGCGCAGAGACTAGGATACGCGGCGCCCTTGGAGCTTTGTCGCGGCTCGGTCAGAAACCCCCGATCATGGGTTTGCGCAGGAATATCCATCATGAAGGACAGGGGGAGCACAGCCGATGGGCAGCTCATGCTGGACAGAAACAAGCTGGCTCGAGGTGCGCATGAGTATGCACGCAAACTTTCGGTTTTCTATGCACGTGCTCTAGATGCAGCGGCTAGCTGTGCTGGCGCAAAGTCAGCCCATCGAGCCGACGGCCCAAATGAGGGCGGCCAGTGCACCTGTGCACTGTGCAGAGTGTCTCGGCGAGGAGCCCAGTCCCGTGATGCGCCTATCCGTGGAAAAGAGAGTAGCTCCCGCGAGGTGCGAGGCCGACGCCGTCTGCAGAGACTCAAGCCTTTGACGAGATAGCTGGCGATGCGGGCTGCGCGCGGGCAGTGATGTACGAGCTCGCGCACGGAATCGCGAAATACCTCCATGACGCATTCCAACTTCTACGCCAGATCGCGGCGGCGGCAGGGGTGGTCTACAAGCCGACCTACGACGCAATGGTCATGAGCGGGAACAGCGCTTTCGGCCCCAGCGACACGCACATGGTTGTCCAAGCTCTTGCATGCCGACCAGATCTTCAAGACTGAGGTATCCTGGTACGTCGGACCTGTTGCCCAGTCAAATGTCGCGGCTGGTTTTCGAAAGGAAGAATCTTCACCAGTTCTGCTGCGCGTTCAGCGCGAGGACACTTCGGCACAAGCATCGAAGGGAGAAATGACAACATGCACCAACAGAGCGAATGAGAGTACCGTTTCGGTTTTGTTTCAAAGCGCGGGCTTAAAGCCGAACGCATCTCGCCCACACTTTTTCTTGACGCAGGTGCGGCAGGCGCCGTCCCAGCATCACGCGCGGAAGGTGCCCTCTCCTCTTGCGTGGACCCATCACACTTTTGTATTATTTTGCGCGGCCGCAGGTTGTGATGAAAAAGCGGTATCGTCACATCAGAAGCAGCGTCGGCATCGATCCCACTTCAGGGGGGAGTGGGGAGGATGGAGTTGGGAAGGACGGGGGCGCCTCCCCAGCCTTTCCCCGAAGCCCCCACTGTTCCACCCGAGCGCCGCCAGTCCGCTGCTCCGAAACCCCATCCGCTGCCTCCGCTCCGGGGTCCCCCCCTCTCGCCGGGTTTTCCCATAGGAGGCACATTGCGGGAACGCTTCCAGACGGGACGCAAGGGAAGGGAGGAATGAGGGGAGGGAAGAGGGCGGAGGAGGCAAGCTAGGTACGCTCGCGCCTAAACTGACATTATACCCTGTCTTCCCAGCCCTTCTCATTGCGATGATTGTTCTCTATCCGCAGACGCGTGTCGCAGCCGACCTACAAATTCAGCCAAACGACGCATCGTGTTATGCGCAATCGGAAAAAAAGGAGCAGCGTGCAAAGTAGGAGGAGGTGGCGGGCGAGTAGAGAAATGAACGGGAGGTAAGGGGCGAGACGCACAGCAATGTCAGGAGCGGGAGGAACAGGAAGACCAGGGAAAAGGCGGAAGAACGGACATGAGGGGGCGACAGCAATGAAAACATTCTCGGACCCAGAAGAGTGGCACGCGCTGGAACGACAACGCTATATTAAACGACGGGAGCACAGCGCTTACCCGGGGAAATGAGGCCCACGCTGCTGCGGGAACACGATGTGCAAGAACTGGAGCAATGAAGCGAGGTCACCGCTGTAGCGGAAGTATAAGGTGGAAAGACTGGGAGCACGAAAATGAAGCCAATGCTAGAGCGGGAACGCCACTCTGGAAGCACCGAAACCTTCGGATTGAACAAACACGCTTGATCGACCAAGTATCCTTCATCCGATGCGTAGAGAAAAATACGAGGACGGGTGGTCGTTCTGCCCAGTCGGCGTTTGCGGGGGGAGAGGAGACCAGTACTCATAGTGTGTAGTGGTGACAGGGGAGAAGGAAGACGGAAGAGCGGCAATGAGAAGGAAATGGGTATTGATCTCTCGATGGTGCAATATGAAAATCTAACAGTATTCAGGTATCCTGGGGTAGTCCCTCTTCCAGCATGCAAGGGAGGAGGGATTGGGGGCAAGGAGGAGGAGGCGGAGGAGGAGGAGGAGGACGAGGAGCTGGTGGAGGAGGAGTACGAGGAGGAGGAGGAGGAGCAGGGAGAGATGGAGGAGGAGGAGGAGGAGGAGGAGGAGGAGGAGGGAGAGAAGGAGGAAGAGGATGATGATGCTGATGATGATGATGATGATGATGATGATGATGATGATGATGATGATGATGATGATGATGATGATGATGATGATGATGATGATGATGATGATGATGATGATGATGATGATGATGATGATGATGATGATGATGATGATGATGATGATGGTGATGGTTGATGATGCTGATGATGATGATGGTGGTGATGATGATGATGATGATGATGATGATGATGATATGATGGAGGATGAGATGAGGATGAGGATGAGGATGAGGATAGGATGAGGAGGAGGAGGAGGAGGAGGAGGAGGAGGAGGAGGAGGAGGAGGAGGAGGGAGCGGAGGAGGGAGCAGAAGGAGGGAGATGAGGAGGAGGAGGAGGAGGAGGAGGAGGAGGAGAAGGAGCAGGAGGAGGAGGAGCAGGAGCAGGAGGAGGAGGAAGGAGCAGAAGACTGAGGCGGAGGAGAGGGGAGGGCGGGTCCGAGGGCTGGCGGCGGTGGCGCCGTCGACGGCGACGACGACAGGGCGACGGCTGGGCTCCACGGCGTCGGCACGGGCAGGCGTCGCAGCCGCGCCGCCGCGGCCCGCATGGCCGCCGCCTGCGGCCCGGCCGGGGGCGCGGAGCTGGCTGGGTTGTCGGCGCGCTCGCGGCGCGACGACGCGGAGCGCGCGTTGTCATTCTCGTTGTCCTCCTCCTCCTTCTCCTCCTCCTCCTCCTCCTCCTCCTCCTCCTCCTCCTCCTCCTCCTCCACGTCCTCCTCCTTGTCGTCGACGTCGTCGCTGTCGTCCTCGTCCTCGTCTTCGTGGTCGTGGTCGGTCGTGGTCGTCGAAGTCGTCGTGGTCGCCGCTGGTGTCGTCGTCGCCCTGGTTGCCGCCGTCGAAGTCGTCGTGGTCGTCGTCGGCGTCGGCGCCGTCAACGTCCTGCTTCTCACCTGGCGTCCGAGCCTCGTGACCAAAAGCCACGGTGGGCCTCTCGCGGCCCCGTCTCGGCACCTCGCAGCAGCACGGAACGATCCGGCTGTCTGGGGTCATCTCGGCTTGTAGCCGCAGGCTTCTGCAGCGTTCACAAGGCCATCCGGAGAACTTCTGCAGGCTGTCTCGCCGCCCCGACCCAGCGCAGATCCAAGAAATCCGCGCGCATCGCCAAAAGTGTTTCTGCTTATGGCGTTGTTGTCCCTCTACAGCATCCAGACCACGAGGGTGTGGTGGGTATGGATACTTTCGCCGCTCGTGAGCCCCGCCCCCTCCTTCGTCCCCGAGCCCTGCTCCCCCTCCCGCCCGCCCATACGCCTGCCGTCTTGTTCGTGCCGACGGGAGCCTGAGCCCCACCCCCCGTCGCTGCGGCTGCGCGCGGCTCCAGAGACGCTGGTCAGGCTGGTGCCCTGCGTGCGGGTCAGGCGCGTGTAGTGGTGGACGAGCCCTGGCAGTGATACGAGATCGTCCGGCAGCCACTCATGAGAGCCTTGCATCTGCTCGCGATTCCATCTTTACAGTGCACCAGCATGCGCTAGCGTTTGGTAATCGATGAGAGCCCATATTAGCGTCGATTCAGCGTCGATGCGCGTCGGTTACCGGCTGGCCTCAGTCAGCGTCGGTCAAGAGCGAGCAAGATGGCACGGGAGGCTTCCACGAGTTGCCACAGCAAGACCAGGAGGCTTGTTAGCGAGTGGTTGAGGAAACTTGGCCCTCTGCCCTCCTCCCTCGCTCTCCTGCACATCCCCCGCCGCCTCTGCCGGGCACCCCGCGCTTCACACCCCCCCGCACACGGCTCGAGCCAATTAGAGTTAGTTGTTTGGGTCGCATGCTAATTGGTCAACGTGACCGCCCGCCTCGGGGAATAAAGAAAGGCATGAGCATCAACTCGCTCCTCGCGGGCTTCCTGGCTCTGCTCTGGGATCCCCCCCTGCGGCGCATGCGGCGCCGCCCCCGGAGCGCTCGGCGCGCCAGGGGAGGGGGTCTTAGCGCCGAGGCAAGACATCCGCTGGGACCACGAGGAACGATGTTGCTGCCGTTCTTTGTTCCTCTAAGCTCGGAGGCTTGCCGGCCACCTGAGGGGCCCAGCGTTGAGTTGGGCCTGTCCCTCTACAGGAGGGACGTTCAGACGTAGTCGGAAAGTAGCCTGGGGACGATTTCTCGAGGACTTGCTCCACCATTTGTTTGTTTTTGTCTGGATATTCTTCATCTCTCGTCCAAAACCGACTTGTAATTAGGGGGACAGGCCCGACCCGAGCCCAGCGCCCGAGGGCGCGCTCGCACGCGCGCGCGCACGGCGCGCGCGGCCATGCCGCCCCGCGCGCGCGCGCGCGCCCTGCTGGCGGCGGGGGGCCTGCTCGCGCGCGCTGCCGCCGCGGCGGAGGGCTACCAGCTGAGGGAGGCCTTCCTCGGCGAGCAGTTTTTTTACCACTGGACCGCCGAGTGGGAGGAGGAAGAGGAGGAGGAGGAGGAGGTGGAGGCGGAGGCGGAGGAGGAGGGAGGAGGAGGAGGAGGAGGAGGAGGCGGAGGAGGAGGAGGAGGAGGAGGAGGAGGAGGAGGGGGAGGCGGAGGAGGAGGAGTTGGAGGAGGAGGAGGAGGAGGAGGAGGAGAGGAGGAGGCGGAGGAGGAGGAGGAGGAGGAGGAGGAGGAGGCGGAGGAGGAGGAGGAGGAGGAGGAGGAGGAGGAGGCGGAGGAAGGAGGAGGAGGAGAGAGAAGGAGGAGGAGGAGGAGGAGGAGGAGAGGAGGAGGAGGAGGAGGAGGCGGAGGAGGAGGAGGAGGAGGAGGAGGCAGAGGAGGAGGAGGAGGAGGACTCGGGGGGCCCTCGCCGGGCCTCGGGACCGTCAAACAACAACTCGGGACGAAAAGCAGGTCCTGGGGAAAGGGTTCCGGACTTCCAGGGGCCCCGTCCTGAAAAACATGACGTCGCATATTTGGATTCCGATCTCGCCGCTGTGTTGTCCGCAAGGGCTCCTCCCCCTGATGCCGGCACAATTTTCTATCATGGTGGAATGCATGCGAGTTGTATTGGGATGTCTTGGCGCCGTCTTGGAGACATTATGATGTTGACGCCGATGGTGTTGCTGATTGTATTGATGACGCCACTGGTGATGGTGATGGAAATGTTGCTCGTGATCCTGCCGCGAGGGCTGGTGATGATGATGCTGATGGTGATGGTGATGATGATGAAGATGATAATGACGATGATGATGATGATGATGATGATGATGATGATGATGATGATGATGACGATGACGATGATGGTGATGGTGATGGTGATGGTGATGATGATGGTGATGGTGATTGTGATGGTGATGGTGGTGGTGATGATGATGATAATGATGATGATGATGACGATGACGATGATGATGGTGATGGTGATGGTGATGGTGATGGTGATGATGATGGTGATCGTGATGGTGATGGTGGTGATGATGATGATGATCATGATGATGATTCTGATGATGATGATGATGATCGAGGGCGTGGCTTGCGGGGGCGCGAACATAGTATAATTTACAAGGGGCCGTGGCCTCGGTGACGCAATCATTGGTCATTCTAAAAGGCTTATGACCTCGAAGAAGCGAGCACTGCGTAATTTAGAAAGGTCTATGGCCTCGGGTACGCGAATATCGCGTAGACTCAACAGTTATGGCCTCGAAGGCGCAAACATGGGGCAATTTACGGGGATCGTGGCCTCGGGGACGCGAGCATTCAATGAATTATGTTTCGAGGACGCAACTATGGCGTCATCTACCAGGGATCGTGGCCTCGGGGGCACGATTGTGTAATTTGTAAAGGGTTATGGTTTCGGTGACGCGAACACGGCATAACTTACGCAGGCTCATGGCTTCGAAGAAGCAGCTATGACGTAAGTTATTCGGGATCGTGGCCTCGGGGACGCGAATCGTGTATAATTTGCAAAGGATCGTGGCCTCGGGGGCGCGGATACTATATGATTTTCGAAGGGGCCGTGGCCTCGGGTACGCGAGCATTGTAACTTACAAGGGATCGTGTCCAAGATGACGCAGCTCTGATCTGATGTACCAATGCTTACGGCCTCGAGGACGCGAATATTTTATCATTTACGAAGGGACAGTAGTTTCGAGGATGCAGATACTGTGTAATGTGCAGGGGGTCGTGGCTTCGGGGCGCGAATCCTGTGTAAGCTTACGAAGGGTGATTGCCGCGGGGATGCGAATACGGCGCACGTTGCTCGGGTGTGCGGCCTCGGGGACGCACATTTTCCAGAACTCACGATGGCTTTGGCTCCGGGGACTTGAACGTTGTACAACGCCTTCTGGTTTATTGCCCCGGGTGCGCAGATACAACCAATGTTTGTCCCGAAACGGTTGAGGCCCATGGTTTTCTTTTATTCCCTACCTAGGCTCTGCCTAAAAGGGTTCTTACTCTCTAGCTTAAAGGGGCCGGGCAGTGAAAAGCGCCCCAGGCGGTTCCCCCAGTCCCCTGGGAGCGGTTCCCCCCAGTCCCCTGGGAGCTTTAGCTTTAGCTTTAGCTTTAGCTTTAGCTTTAGCTTTAGCTTTAGCTTTAGCTTAGCTTTAGCTTAGCTTTTTACTTAGCTGTAGCTTAGCTTTAGCTTAGCGTTTCGCTTAGCTTTTCGCTTAGCGTTTAGCTTAGATTTAGCTTAGTTTTAGCTTAGCTTTAGCTTAGCTTGAGCTTAGATTTAGCTCAGCTTTAGCTTAGATTTAGCTAAGCTTTAGCTTAGCTTTAGCTTAGCGTTAGCTTAGTTTTAGCTTAGCTGATGCTCAGCTTTAGCTTAGCTTTAGCTTAGCTCTAGCTTAGCTTTAGCTTAGCTTTAGTTTAGTTTTAGCTTAACGTTAGCTTAGCTGTGGCTGAGCTTTAGCTTTAGCTTTAGCTTAGCTTTAGCTTAGCTTTAGCTTAGCTTTAGCTTAGCTTTAGCTTAGCTTTAGCTTAGCGTTACTGTTACTACTAATGCTGCTTTCCTAGGGGTTCCAACTCCTAGGTAGGGTCGCACTGGGATAATATGGTAATGCGTCCCCGTTGCCACGTTCGAAGGGCCGGCTGATTATCTCCCCGATACATAACGAGATCGAGGAGGGCCTTCGGATCAAAATTTGAGTATGCCTCAGGCGAAGCGTTTTTTCCCTACCTAGGCTCTGCCTAGAAGGGTTCTTACTCTCTAGCTTAAAGGGGCCGGGCAGTGGAAAGCGCCCCGGGCGGTTCCCCAAGTCCCCGCCCCGCGGTTCCCCCAGTTGCGCCCCTTGGGTTCACCCAGCTTAGCTTAGCTTCAGCTTAGCTTTAGCTTAGCTTGAGCTTAGCTTTAGCTTAGCTTTAGCTTAGCTTTAGCTTAGCTTTAGCTTAGCTTTAGCTTAGCTTTAGCTTAGCTTTAACTTAGCTTTAGCTTAGCTTCAGCTTAGCTTCAGCTTAGCTCTAGCTTAGCTTTGCTTAGCTCTAGCTTAGCTTCAGCTCAGCTTCAGTTTAGCTCTAGCTTAGCTTTAGCTCAGCTCTAGCTTAGCTTTAGCTTAGCTTTAGCTTAGCGTTAGCTTAGCTTCAGCTTAGCTCTAGCTTAGCTTTAGCTTAGCTCTAGCTTAGCTTTAGCTTAGCTTTAGTTTAGCTTTATTTTAGTTGTAGCTTAGCTTTAGCTTAGCTTTAGCTTAGGTTTAGCTTAACTTTAGCTTAGCTCTAGCTTAGCTTTAGCTTAGCTTCAGTTTAGCTTTATTTTAGTTGTAGCTTAGCTTTAGCTTAGCTTTAGCTTGGTTTCAGCTTAGCTTCAGCTTAGCTTTAGCTCAGCTTCAGCTTAGCTCTAGCTTAGCTTTAGCTTAGCTCTAGCTTAGCGTTAGCACAGTGTTAGCTTAGCTTTAGCTTAGCGTTAGCTTAGCTTTAGCTTAGCTTCAGCTTAGCTTTAGCTTAGCTTTAGCTTAGCCTTAGCTTAGCGTTAGCTTAGCTTCAGCTTAGCTGTAGCTTAGCTTTTTTTCTTAGCGTTAGCTTAGCTTTACTGTTACTACTAATGCTGCTTTCCTAGGGGCTCCAACTCCTAGGTAGGGTCGCACTGGGATAACTTAATATCCGGTTGACAGAACACATGGTGCAGTGAACAGTTTCGCTTGTTGTGATGTGTTGAACATGTTTCGAGCAAAACGCATGTTTTTCCTGTATATATATATATATATATAGATTGCTCCTCTCATGGGGCTCGAATCCTTTGTGTTTTAGAAGTGTTCCACAATATTGCCCCAGCGACCGCCTCAGGGCGGGACAATCGTGAATTACATGTGTTCCTAACGCCTCAAAACGTGCCAATCGTGAAAATGCATGGTTCCTGACGCCCCAGAGCGGGACAAGCGTGAAAACACGCGGGCCCCTCACGCCCCAGAGCGGGACAAACGTGAAAACACATGGGTTCCTTACGCTCCAGGGCAGGACCGATGTGAAATCATGTGGGTTCTTGGTGCCCCAGAGCAGGACAAGCGTGAAACCATGTGGGTCCCTAACGCCCCAGGGCGGGACAAGCGTGAAAACTCATGGGCTCCTAACGCCCCAGGGCGGGACAAGTGTGAAGACGAATGGGCTCCCGACGTCCCAGAGCGGGACGGCGTCTGCCCCTCCCCCCTCGGTTCGTCCCTTGTCTTGCTCTCTGTCGCGTTCCTTGGCTTGGCCCCGTCGCTTTCCCTGCCCGTTACGTGGCGCGGCCTTTGCCCCGTCCCTCGACGCGTCCCCTGGCGCATCCCCCAGTGCGCCCCTGGCAGACTCCGTGGCGCGTCCAAGCGCCCTGCTCCCCGTGTCCTCTCGCCCCGCTTCGGAGCCGAGTCGGATCTCGAGCTCCAGCCGACTGAGCGTCTCGTGCGTCTCGACTGCAACCAGCCCTTGGCCAGCTATGCGCTCAGGCAGCTCGAGCTCAAGGCCCAGGCCAGTTCGGCCAGGATTCGGATGCCAAGGGCGATGTGATCCACAACGCTATAAAGCACAACGCGATGCACCGCGGCACGAGACATCTCATTTCCGCACGGCACAGCACAGCACAGTCTTAGGCACGGTACATCACGATCGATACCTTCGGCATTGAAATGGCATGTCGCCCTATCAAGTGTCTTGAAAACGTAGCCATGCTTCGCGTGTTTTTCAAATTCCGTTCCAGATTCGTGGGGCGATCATGTTTTACATATCCCCCGACCCCCCAGGAATTTTGAGCCCCCTGGGAGGGCCTGGTGCAGGCTCTTTTTTCAGCTACCCCTCCCTGGCGGGGACTTCGATACTGCACAGCAGGAAGCAGAAAGTAGAACCATCAGATAGGAAACTGGACAGTGGACGAGACGCAGGGAGCAGCAAGCCTGGCCCACGCAGCCTGGTGGCCCCACAAGGGGGCCGGCGGATTTGTTTCGTCTGGGCGGGGGCTTGCTAGCGGGCTCGGGGGCCCATCTACCACGACACGAAACTCTACCGCTCCGAGGAAGCGGTCGGGGTTTCGGGGGCCGCGCAGTGAAAAAAACGCCCCGTTCGGTGTGTTGGGGTCAGTGGAGGATGCCGCCGCTCGTCATGGAGAGCCCTCGTCACCATAGGTACACTTTAGCCTCCCCAGGACGTTCCACAGCGGCCCGGCCCCCCCGGGCGGCGCGGTGGAGTACGTCGACTATGCCTCCGCTCTCGCGCTGGGGCTGGTCAACGCCACGAGCGGCGAGGTCTACATGGGCGCGGACGGGCGCAGCACCAGCGGGCCGGGCTCGATCCGCAGGTCCGTGCGCATCAGCTCCAGGGCGACGTTCAACGAGGGCCTCTTCGTGCTCGAGGCCGGCCACCTTCCCACCGGGTGCGGCACGGCGCCCTCCTTCGGCCTCTCCGCGGAGGAGGGCCCGGGCGGCGCCACGCCCCCGCCGGCGGAGATCGACATCGTGGGCGGCGTCCACCGCGCCACCCACGCGACGACCGCTCTCCGCACCGGCGCGGGCTGCGACCAGTCGGCGCTGCTGCCCGGGCGCGACTTCTCCACGAAGTGGGCGCCAGGCAGGACCAAGGCGGCGGACAGCTGCGACGTTCGGGAGCCGGGCCAGTTCGAGGGCCAGGGCTGTGCCCAGAGCGGGCCCAGGAACTCGGTCGGCGCCCGCCTGAACGCCGGCGGGGGCGGCACCTACGCGCTGGAGTGGGACCCCTCGGCTGGCCACATCCGCGCCTGGTTCTGGCCCGTGGGCGCGGAGCCGGCAGATGTGGTGGGCGACCCTGGCGGGGGGCTGGAGCCGGCAGCATGGGGGTTGCCGTACGCGCACTTCCAGCTCGGCCAGGCGTGCCCCGCCGCCCTCTTCCGCGACATGAGGTTGGTCTTCGACCTCGGCTTCTGCGGGCTCGAGGGCATTCGCAACTTTGAGCTCGACTGCCCCGAGTTCGCCACCATGACCTGCCAGGAGCTCGTCGCCAGCCGCCCGGAGTGCACGAAGGAGGCCTTTTGGTCACTGCGGTCACTAAGGGTCTACCACCGCCACGGGGCAGCAGGGCAGCCATTGCCGTCTGCCCCGCCTTCGCCGCCCGCGGCGCCGACTGCAGGCCCCGGGGCCGCCGCTGCCGCCGCGCGCGCCGCCGCTGCAGAGGCACGGGCGGCTGCAAGGGCGGCGCCCGGGCGGGGGCCGAGGGAGCCGTCTGCCCAGGAAGGCACCGCGAGTGAGGGCGCGGCGTCCGCCGCCCCGAAGCGGCAGCGTGCAGCGCAGGGGCCCGACGGCGCCTTCCCGGCGGTGCGCCGCAGCGGCTTGGCTCTGCCTGGGAAAGTGTTTGGCAATCGCTCGGCGCCGCTGCCCACCAATGCCTGGTGGCAGAACCTGGCGCTGGCGAAAGACACCTCCAGCTTGGAGGCGAACGTCTTCCAGATGCCGTACGTCATCACGGCTGGCAGCAGCTCCGTGAACGTGATGCAGCCGTACCCAGTCCAGAATTCGGCAGCGCCTTTCGCCCAGAGTTTCAACGAGTTCGAGGCGATGAGCCTCGGGTTCTCGGATCAGGACTCTGGGGCAGCGTTAGGGGGGGATAGGCCCAATGGGAGATGCATCGACCCCCAATCCTGTACTCATCGCCGATGGGCGCCCAGGCCCACCTCGCCCGCCCACCGCCGATCCGCCAGCGATGTATCGATGTATCTCAGGAGGGGGAAACACACACAGACACAGTTAATCGTCGGTTCCCAGGAAAATGTGGGAAAATATGGGAAGTGGGGGGATAGACAAAACCCAGGAAAGATGGGAAAATATTGGGAACCCTGCTATTTGTGTATTTATTTGTGTGTCCCAGGGCCCCTTCACTGACGCTCCCCCCCCAAAGGACCTCTCTGGCCCCATCCTGGACGGGTGGGGCCAGCTCAGCGTGTCGCTCGGCTGGAGCACGCCTTCCGGCCGCGGCGGGATGCGCGCGCCGCTCGCGAGGGGCTCGCCGTACGTCACCGCGGTGTACGACGGCGTCACGCCCCTCGCCTCGTCGCGGCAGCGGCTGCAGACCCACGGCGGGCGGTACCAGATCACGGTCGACGGTGCGCCCGCGCCGTGCGACGGCAAGGCCCCGCTGCGGGGCTCCGTGTTCGAGGCGCGCCTGGGCCAGAGCGGCGCCGCCTGGCTGCTCTTCTCCCCCGCCGGGGCGGCCTGGGTGTGCACGCCGCGGCCCTTCCGCCTCGCGGGCCTCGCGCCGCTGCGCGGCGCCGTGCGCATCGCCCTGGCGAGCGGCTGCTCGGGCGGCTCCGCCCCGCCCGTGCTGTGCAGCGCCGGGGAGGCGGCCAAGCACACGTGGCCTGGGCTGCTGCGCCAGCACGCGGGCACCTACCCCACGGGGGCAGCCGTGAGCTACACCGTCGAGGGCGACGCGGGGAGCGTGGTGTGGGAGTGGCAGACCGAGTCGCTCGCCGGCTGGGAGCCCGCGGAGCTGCTGCAGCTGGCGTGGCCGGTGCACAGGGAGCGCATGTCCAGGGAGATGTTGCGCGCCAACTCTGGGGTGCCGGACGCCACTCCGTTCCACGACGTGCGTGGCCGCGCCACCGCGGTCGTGGGCGGCAGATGGCGTCTGGACTACGAGCTCTTCCCAGACGTTGGCCTGCGGTCAGCGCAGCCGATAGCCGAGGAGATGCGCGCAGAGATCCTGGACGCCCTCCGGGGCGAGGGCGGCGCGCTCTGGAACGGATCGCTGGCGGACAGCGAGTTCGACCTGCCTCCGAACTATCGGCGCGGCGGCGGGGACACCTACTTCGCCGGAAAGATGCTCGCGCGGCTGGCCCGCCTGGTGGCCGTCTCGGATGAGCTCGGCGACGCTGGCCGGCCGTACTTCGAGGCGCTCCTGGACCGCCTCAGCGAGCGGCTGCAGGTCTGGCTGGGGCCTGGCGCAGAGGCCCCCTTCCTCTACGACTCCTCCTGGGGCGGCCTCGTCAGCTGTGGCTGCGCCTCCGGCGCTGGTGCGGGGGGGCGGTACTGCGCCGGCAGCGCTGAGGCGCCCGAGACGTGCGAGGGCCTCCGGGACCCAGGCCTCAACTTCGGCAACGGCTTCTACAACGACCACCACTTCCACTACGGCTACTTTGTCTACGCCGCTGCGGTGGTGGCGAGGCACCGCCCGGAGTGGGAGCGGAGGTGGCGGCTGCAGATCGAGGCGTTGGTCCGCGACTACGGCAACCCGACGGCGACGGACGGCGGCTTCCCGCTGGCACGCCACATGGAATGGTTCATGGGCTTCTCCTGGGCATCGGGCGTCTCGGGGCCGTTCTTCAACGGCCGCAGCCAAGATACTTCCTCTGAGGCTGTCCACGCCTACTACGCGCTGTACGTCTACGGGGCCTCGGTGGACACCCCGCTCGCCCGCGAGCTGCGCGGCTTCGGCCGCCTCCTGGCCGCCATGGAGGCCCATGCGGCCAGGACCTACCGCTTCCCTCGGGCGCGCTCCAGCGTCTACGGAGACATGTTCGGCGAGGGGACAGTCGGTACCCTGTGGGAGCACCAGGCGGTTTTCCAGAGCAGGTTCGGGGGAGCCCAGTTCTCCGCGATTGGGATGCAGCTGCTGCCCTTCACCCCGATGACTGAGAGTCTGCTCCAGGAGGAGTGGATCTTGGAGCACCTGGACGGCTACAAGACGGCATGCGCGTCCGACCCAGCCTGCGAGGCGACGGGCTGGCGGTGGGCCGTGTGCCTGTCGGAGGCAGTCGTCGACCCCAGCGCGGCGCGCAGCTGCTTGAGGGATCTGCCCCAGGGCTCCTACGGCGCCCATGTGGCTGCGGCGAACGGCGACTCCCTCACCAACTCGCTGTACTGGGTGGCGACCCGCCCGCGGCGCACCCGCGCCCCACCAGCCGCGGCCATCGCAGGCGGCTCCGCGGAGCGCGCGGAGCGCGAGGAGGACTCCGCACTCGTGCTGATGAAGTTCAAGGACCGGGGCTTCGTGCTCGACTTCGCCAGGAGCCCGGGGCGGCCAGAAGGGGGGCGATGACCAGGGGGGGACGGATATCATGGCGGGGGCCATGCTGCCTCCCCAGAGTTCAGGGCGCCTCTTCTCAGTTCAACGCGTTCCCTGGCCCCCCCTGTGGTCCGCGCACATGCCTCGGGCCATGGTCTGCACACACCCCTCCTGGACGCCCCCCTCCCTGGACGCCCCCGAAGGAGGCTGCGGTGGGCGTCCAGCTTCAGCCTGGCCGCGGCGGCGATGCTCACGACCGCGGCGGTGGCCTGCGCCCTGGCGCGCTCGAGGCTCGCGGGGGGCGCCGCCGGCGACCCCACGCGCGGCCTGCGCGCGCTCGCGGCGTACGAATTCATGCACGAGGGCGCGGCGGACGAGGCGCCGACGGAGCCCGGGAGCCCCCGCGCGCGGGGCGCCGCCGCGGCGCCCCGCGGCGCGTCGCCGCCGCGGCGCGCGGCGCAGGCCGCGCGGCGGGCGCTCGCGCACACGCTGCGCGGGGCGGGGCTCGCCGGCCGGGCCAGCCCGCGCGCGGTGCGCGGCGCGCGGGCCGAGGCGGCGGACCCCTGCGCCTGAGGCGGCCTATCTGCCCGAGGCTCGAGGGCGCGCCCCGCGGTTCTGTTGCATCTTCGGGGGGCCTCGCCTGTCCCAAAAATTGGTGTCTCTTTGGGGGGCCCGACGCGTGCTCGAGGCGGGCTCGACGCGGATGTGGCGCGGATTCGACGCGGATTCGACACGGATTCGACACGGATCCGACGTCTCCGACATGGATTCGACACGCATTCGACGCGGACAGGGCCGCGACGGGACAGACAAGGTCCCCCGAGGATGCAACATAACCGCTGCCGGGGGGGGGCGGCGGGGAGGGGGAAACAAAAGAGCACCGATGCCGCTGCCGCGCCTCCCCGGAGCTCTCGCGGGCAGCCTTCCGACCAGGACTTGGGAGGGGCATCCAGGCGTGGCGACCAGGACCAGGGGTCGGCGGACCCCTTCGCCTGAGGCGGCCTGGCCTATTTGCCCGAGCAGGGGAGGAGGAAACTAGGGGAACAAACATCGAGCAGCGGCGAAGCGTCCTGGCTCGCCCAGAGCCCTACCAAGCAATGTTGTAACAACCCTTTGTGGTCTCCACGACATGTTCTTAGAACCTTCCTGGCGGAGTCTGTCTTGTTTTATCACATCGGGGTTATGTTCTAAGAACATTGTTGTTGGTCTTCGACATTTTGGGGTTCTAAGAACGTTTTGTGGTATGACTATAGGAATGCCGGGGCGGTCGGTCCCTGCTCAAAAAAGTGGCACACACACATACAAACTCGGAGGTCCGCGCGGATTTCTCGGATCGGCGCTGGACCCCCCTCCCTGGCGGCGCTTTGTTCCCCTAGAAAAGGGTTGCCGCTGCCGCGTCTCAGCCCTCGTCGCCAACCCTGGATGCCCCCCCTCCCAAGTCCTGGTCGGAAGGCTGCCCACGAGAGGTCTGGGGAGGCACGGCAGCGGCAGCGGTGCTCTCTTGTTTCCCCCTCCCCGCCGCCGCCCCCCCCCGCCGCCCCCCCCCCCCCCCCGGCAGCGGGGCGCGCTCTCGAGCCTCGGGCGCTCCTGCCTCGGCCCGACGGCTGCGCGGCCGCACGAGACCGCTGTCGGCGCGCGGCGAGACAAGAAGGTGGCAGGGCCGCAGGGCACGCAGGGGGCACCGTCTGTGCCTTGTGCTCCGCCGGCTGCGTCCTGGACGCCCTCGGGGCTCTCAGGCGCCTGCGCTGCGGGCACCAGGCCACGGCGGGCGTCTTCGCCCCGACGCTGGGGCCGCGGGTGCCCTCTGCGGATCGATGGGTCTCGAGAGATCGAGCAGGGAGATAGCGCCAGGGACTCTGGCCGTCCTTTGCAAGACGTCGTGGTTGCTTCAACTAGACGTACGGGTGACCCTTCGCCAGAGTGTGCGCGCCCTCCCAGAACCCACGATCGACGAGCGCGACGCGATAGTAGCGGCTTGCGCGCTTGGGTTTGGCCCCCTCGCGCCCCCCCAAAAGCTGCGCACCGTAGGCCACTCTTACACGGAGGATGAGGAGGAGGAGGAGGAGGAGGAGGAGGAGGAGGAGGAGGAGGAGGGAGGAGGAGGAGGGGGGAGGAGGAGGGAGGCGGAGGAGGAGGCGGAGGAGGAGGAGGAGGAGGAGGCGAGGAGGAGGAGGAGGCGAGGAGGAGGAGGAGGAGGAGGAGGAGGAGGAGGAGGAGGAGGAGGAGGGGAGGAGTGGGGGAGGAGGGGGGAGGAGGGGGGAGGAGAGGAGGAAGGAGGAGGAGGAGGAGGAGGAGGAGGGGAGGAGGGGAAGGAGGAGGAGGAGGAGGAGGAGGGAGGAGGGCGAGGAGGAGGAGGAGGAGGAGGAGGAGGAGGAGGAGGAGGAGGAGGAGGCTTGCTCTTGCGTGTGGCTGGTGGCTCGCGGCGTGGACTCCGGCTACGGGTGCATTTGCTCGCGGGCGAAGTGCATAGGCAGGCTTCGGCCTGGCGGCGCTGCAGCCAGGCAGCACCAGCCGCCGCTGCGAGCCAGCACCTCCGTGCCCCTCTGGGCAGGAAGCTCCGCTTCGTCTCGGTCCTCTCCCCTCCTCTATTCCTTCTCCTTATAGATAACTCCTCCCTGTCGCACCCCGAGGCCAATTTTAGGGCGGGCCGGGCGTGTCGCCTGACCATTACGACTCTGAAGCTTAAAAAGTGGCACAGCTTCACACATGGAGGGCGGGTGGTTTTCAACATGTGGCTCTCGCCTTTGCGCCGCGCACACTCGTCTTAAGCATTGCAAGTGTTTCACGGATTGAGGGCGGTTCCTTTACAAAATGTGGCTCTCGCCTACGCGCCGCGCACATTTTTCAACATTTGCAAAGAGTTTCACGGATTGAGGGCGGGTCGGTTTCAAAATATGGTTCTCGCTTTAGCGCCGCGCATATTCGTTTTACGCTTTAAACCGTGGCAAGAGTTTCACGGATTGAGGGCGGGTAGTTTTAAACATGTGGTTCTTGCCTTAGCGACGCGCACATTCGTTTTACATGGTAAGTAAGCGGTTCACGGATTGAGGGCGGGCCGTTTTAAAAATGTGGTTCTCACCTTAGCGCCGCGCACATTCGTTTTAAGCAGTTGCAAGGGTTTCACGGATTGAGGGTGTTCTTTCTCAAATTGTGGTTCTCGCCTTAGCGCCGTGCACACTCGTTTTTTAACATGTGCAAGAGTTTCACGAGTTCTTATGATCAACGTACCAGAAACGGTGGTTTGGAAGGATTCCGGATTATGCAGGCGCAACAGTTATGTTGGTTCGCTGTTTTGAAGTCCCAAATATGGCGTTCTGGCGCGATTCTGGATCGTCATGCCGCAGCAGTCAGGTTGACACGTGGCGTTTAAATCCCGAGAACAATGTTTTGGCACACTTCAGGATCTTCAAACGGTTGTCTTCCACCGAGGCAGTTCCCTCAATGGAAATGAACCGTTGTACGGGCATCTGAAGATGGAGCTTGGAGGGAGTGTTTACTCCACCATCGTTGATGACTCTTGGGTTTCCACTGGTCCTTCTCCTCCTCCTCCTCCTCCTCCTCGTCCTCCTCTTCCTCCTCCTCCTCCTCCTCCTCCTCCGCCTCCTCCTCCTCCTGGTACCCGACGGTATGATGTTTTCACCGAGGCCCCGCGGAGGCCCGCCTCGGTGATGCACGTCCTCGAGCCTCGAGGTCCGACGTCGCGCACAGTTTGCAGCACCGTCGACCATTGCGACCAGAGAGCTCCAGATCTCTCCTCTCCTCCTCCTCCTCCTCCCTCTCCTCCTCCGTAGGTCAGAGCCCTTCGAAAGCCGACGGGCTGGCATCCCCCAAAAACGGGGGAACTGGCTGTCGCGGACCGCTGGCGGTCCCTAGTCGAAGCACGGGGTGTAGAGATAATTGCGCTTCCTGCCCGTTTTCGGGCTCCGGGGCAAGGCCTTCACTTCAGCAGACGGTCGGGCCCCCGAGCACACTAGCGGACCAGAGGATTTATTAACCGCACGCGCGCCCGAGCGTGAAGCACGCGCATGAGACTCCCGGGCTTCTCTTCTCCCATCTCTCCTCCTTTCCCCCTTGCCAGTCCCGTCCGGGATCCGAGTGGCAGTAGACGCCGCAACAAGGGAGGGATACAGTTTCCCCCAGTTTCGTATCATCCAGAATCTGCGTTGTTACGGTATCCGCCCTCGTGTTCTCGAGGGGGGGGTATGATTTGTCCGCCCGCTCTGGGTGTCACGGAGTACCCCCGAGGCGCGGGTAGCAGCCGGCAGCGGGAGACAGCACATGCTAGGCGAATAGTCCCATTAAGTGGGATAGCAGATTCGAGCTCGCAGCGCGATGGACTTGCATGCGTTGGCACCAGGCAGGCAGGCCCGGTGCACCTGATGCGGGTGCCCGTCATGCTGGGGATTGATCCCCTCCAGGTGCACCCTCCATGCTTTGGCATGGCACGCCCCTGCGAACACACACGCCTCAATTCAGCGGCAGGGAGGCGCGCGGACCCATTTGGGGCCCATCCGCTCCCCTGAGGGGAACAGCTGGGCAGTGCACGGCCCAAGGCTCATCAGAATGCGGACCACTGCCGCGGCAAGTTCGCTTCCCCGACCTGGGATGCCACCCTGTAGCAGCCCTGATTCGACAGGATCGCACGTGGGCATGGGTGAGAAGGTGGCGGCGGCCAGCGAATGCGATCGCGAGGTGGAGTATCGATCGGTGCTCCCCACTAGGCACCTCAGTATCGTCGCTGTCCGCCGACCCCCACTTCAGGCCGCGCGGCAGGTCTTTCACATCGGTCAGGTGAGTTAGCCTGATCCGCGGCCTAAGGTTACATCCGAGACGATCCTCCTCCTCCTCCTCCTCCTCCTCCTCCTCCTCCTCCTCGTCCTCCCCCTCCTCCTGCTCCTCCTGTGGCAGTTTTTTCGAGGCGGATCGATCCGTGATGGTCCCGGGGCCGGAAACAGGGCGAAAGTGCCCGTTGTGGAACGATTGCGCCGCCTGGATCTCAGGGTCCTCGAACTTCCCACTTTCGAAGACGGTGGCGGCGAGGGTGACGGGGATGGCGGCGGCGGCGGCGACGGCGCCTCGGCGCGTGTTGGCTCGTGGCACGCGCCATTGGCCCGAGAGCAGAGATCGCCGTGAAGGGCAAGGGGTCCTGATGGAAGCGGACCCTGGACTCAGGGGGCTCCACCCAGGCACAGCTCTGCCTCTCGAGTCTCGAAGAGGAACAGCATCATAAACATCAGCGTTCGGAGCTCGCCTGGCTTTCTTGGTTCTGCGCTGGAACCCACCTGGCGACGCCTTCGGCGCCATCCCTCTGGCGCGCACCTCGCTCTGGAGGGTGGGTCCAGCGCAAATCCAAGAAATCCGCGCGAATCACAGAGAAGCTATGCTTATGCAGCTTGTTGTTCCTCCCCCCAGAAGGCTAGCTCTCCCTCCAGAGCTGCCCTTCG